TATCAAGATCCTTTTCAATGCTGGCCTCGAGCTCAACGCATTTCTGAACCACACAATTATTCTCCTCCACCCTCTCAGTCAATGATCGCATCATAACATTGAGCTTATTTTGCATTAACTTCAACGTCTCAGTCCTATCCGACTGCCCGGTGCGCAACAGCTCCTGTATCTTAGCCACAACTTTTACCTCCAGGTCCGCCGTCCGGGCAAACAGTGCGGTATCGGACCTACAGTCCAATAGTAGGCGACGGGTCGGGACGGGCGGGGCTGGAGTTGATTATGAATGAAGTGTACTACCACTAGTTATAATCAATTTGTCGGCTCCAGGTCCACCTGGTGATCTAGTTCGGTTAGATTTTTGATAATATTGTCTATGTCACTTGGCGTTGCACCGATTGTAGCATTGCGTAGTGATGATTCATGGCCAGCAAGGCCATTTATCTCCAGCTCGCTGATCAAGGAATGTTTCGCGAACGTGTCCAGCTCAGGGTTGAGACTTTGGATTAGTTACCATGTTATGTGTAGTAATTATTCCTTGGTTTAATGTTATACATCTATTTGAACCTTTTTATTTAAAAAATATATAATCAATTAATTTAATAAAATAATTTGTATTTTTACCGTAAAATAAACAAAATATAGTATTATAATAATGAAACATTTTAGTTGTATTGTAATAATTAAATTTTCATTACAGTGAATTATATTAATTACATAATTAACATTATAATTATTTGATAATCATAATCCGTTAGTTTGTAATTAAAATAAACTATTGTTGTAAATAAAAATTAATGTTTTTAAATGTAAATTATTATTATATTTATTATTTTATTTAAATTTACTTTTATTATTGCATTTAGGTGATATAAAATATTTAGTTTAAATAATGGTAAATAAAATATACATTACACATAAACATTCTCTAACAGAAAATATTTAAACTAATTAATTAAAACACACAAATTAACATATGGGCAAGCACAATTGTTGAGCATTTATATATTTTTTATTTAGCCAAAAATATTAATTTATGTTAATGGTCACTTTTAAATTAAATAATTTTGTAATTGGATATTACATAATAAATCCAACAAATAAATTAATACAAATACCATATTTGATAATTATTATTTAATATACAATTGTATATTAAATAATAATTATCAAATATGGTATTTGTATTAATTATGCATAAGCCATAAGTTGTGTAAAAATAAAATTGTCATCATTTGCTCAAAAATATTGCCTGATAATAAAACAATGAAGCTCACAACACTTCTAATTGTCATCTTAATTATCAGCATGGTTAATGTGGCCTGCAATGCTAAGGAGATTGATTTTTGCAAGCCAGATGCCATTAATAAGACTGAACAAGCTAACAAAACTGACGCAAACGGGCAAGCCAACGAAACTGACGCAATTCTTAAAGCTAAAAAATTAGCAGTGTCAAATATGAATATTGACTTAAATTTGCAAGCAAACAAACCAGACATAATTGTGCAAGCTAACAAAACTGACGCGCTCCTTAAATTAGCAGTTTCAAATATGAACATTGTTGTTGGTCAAGATACAGACGTAAATTTGCAAGCTAGAAAATTAGCAGTGGCAAATATGAATATTGACTTAAATTTGCAAGCAACCAAAACGGACATAAATCTACCGGCTAACAAAACGGACATAAGTCTACCGGCTAACAAAACGGACATAAATCTACCGGCTAACAAAACGGACATAAATCTACCCTTTAATATATAATATTACAGTATTATACAAAAATAAGGTGCACTATTGGGTAACGCGCGTTCATAAAAGGGGGTGTGAGCAACACCACCAGCATATAAAGTATTGTTTGCTATAAAAGGACATAAATCTACCGGCTAACAAAACGGACATAAATCTACCGGCTAACAAAACGGACATAAATCTACCGGCTAACAAAACGGACATAAATCTACCGGCTAACAAAACGGACATTGTTGTTGGTCAAGATAAGGACGTAAATTTGCAAGTTCAACCATTACGCAATATGAACATTGATCTTAATTAAATTTCATTGATTCTTTCAAGTATATTATACTTTTATAAAACATTATTTATATTATGTTACTACACAAATGTAATTTTAATTAAATAAAAATTTAAAGTCATAATGCCTGAATCATGATCAATTTTGTCAAAACTCAAACCAATTCTGTTAAGTATATTCGGGGAAATTATTTGTGACATTTCGATCATTAATCTAAATTAGCTTATAAAGTAAGTTTATTTTAATACTTCCAAAATATTTATATTCTCGTTTTAGTTATTGTTAGCTACTTGAACATGATAAAAAATAAGAAATACCAAAAATATAAGAATTAATTTTATATAATATATTGTAATAAATAAAATAAACTCAATAGTACAATAAATATACGATGATAAAAATAACCAAATGTTATATCATAAATTTAGAATAAAGTATTTAAATAAATAACATATTATAAGTAAAATAATAAAAACCATAATTGTTTAATTTTTGGTTAGTATTGCGTACAAATTTTTATTTGCTAAATTATTATTTATTTATTTAAATAAGTATTGCGTATTTTATATATTTAACATGCTCAATAATTAAACATTTAGCAACATAATTAATTAATATACTAAACACATAAAAAATACTTAATTCATATATTAAACAAATATAAACACAACATTAATATTAAATATTAGTAAAATATCAAATATAATAATGTTAGTGATAATTAACTAATTATAATTATTTGTTTGTTATTAGTAATAACTTATTACAAAATTTAAAAAACATCACAAACTATCAAGATCTTTTTCAATGCTGGCCTCGAGCTCAACACATTTCTGAACCACACAATTATTATTCTCCACCCTCTCAGTCAACGATCGCATCATAACATTCAGTTTATTTTGCATTGACTTCAACGTCTCAGCCCTAGCGGACTGCCCGGTGCTCAACAACTCCTGTATCTTAGCCACAACTTTCACTTCCAGGTCCGCCGTCCGGGCAAACAGTGCGGTATCGGCCCTACAGTCCAATGGTGGGCGACGGGTAGGGACGGGCGGGGCTGGAGTTGGTTGGGAGTGAGGTGTACTACCACTAGTTACAATTGACTCGAGCCTGGTCAACTCCAGGTTCACCTGGTGATCTAGATCAGTTAGATTTTTGCTGATGTTGTCTATGTCAACTTGGCGTTGTGCTAATTTCAGGATGGCGCATTCAAATCGTAATGATGATTCATGGCCAGCAAGGTCTTTTATGTCCAGCTCGCTGATCAGGGGACTTTTCTCAAAAATGTCTAGGTTAGTGTCGATGCGTTGAATTAGTTGCCATGTTTGTTGTAGTAATTGCTCCTTGGTTAATGAACTACATGTTTGTATACCTGTTTGTTAATATTAAAACAATTAATTAATTAAATGAATTAAATTGTATTTTTACCGTAAATTAAGCAAATTATACTAATAAAATAATGTAACATGTTAGTTGTTTTGTAATAATCAAATAATCATTATGGTTAAATGAATACCTGCTAATCATGATCCATTAGTTTGTTATTAAAATAAATTATCGTTGTGAACTAAAACAAATGTTTTTTATAAGTAAATTATTAATTTATTAATTATTTTACTTAAACTTACTTTCATTACTGCATTTAGGAAAAATGACAATTATTTAGCATAAAACAATTCCCGAATAATACTAGACACCCTAATGAAATCATTAAGATGATGGGAAGTACCCTGATACACATTTTGTTTGCAGAGCCAAGGCTTGTAAAATTAACATAATATCCTGTTATGTTCATATAAATTAACAGGATATTTTGTTTATGTTGGGAGTGTTAGTATTAACAGTGTAATTTATGGTAATGATTATTTTTTAATTTATTTATTTAATCGCATGATATTACATACCACACCTAACAAATAAATTAATAAAAATACCATATGTGATTATTATTATTAAATAAAATTAATTTCACATAAGACATAAGTCGTGTAAAAAATCAAATCGCCATCACTTCAAAATTATTGTCTTATAAATAAAACAATGAAGCTCACAACCCTACTAACTGTCATCTTAATTGTCAGCCAACTAAATTTGGCCTATCATGCTCAGATGATTGATGGTGGTAAATATCGAGATGTCTTTGCCCCGTTTGAACAACCTGAAGAAACGGACAAATATCTAAAAGCTAAACAATATAAAGCAGTAAATTTGAAAATTGATGTTTTCAAAGATTAATTTACTTTGGCGCTTTCAAGTATATTATTTTTTAATACATAATCTACATATGTTAATGCGCTAATGTAATTTTAATTAATTAAAAATTAATTATTTTTTGTCCAAAAAATAATATAGTATTTTGATTTAATACTTTAAATAAAATTTTGTTATTATTTATTAAATTTATTTTATAATGTTTTATTATAACAATTAAACTATTGAAAAGTTCACAAACATTTTCGAGAACTAATGTGATTTAATAAGGTAAAGATTAATCCACAAATCTATAATATAAAGTAAAGTAGATATATAAAGTCATGAGACGCTTGTGAAAAAAACAAACTTGATAATGACATGATTTTTAAAAATTTTATTATTACTAGTTTATAACTAACTTGTTGAAATCAATAAGCAATCATTTTTGATTATACCATTTACCTGGAAATGTTATAAACTATAACTATACTGTACTTACAAAGCAATACAATTACTATTGTTAAATTCAATTCTGTTTGTTTTTCTAAAATAAATTTAGCTTTATCAATATTCTATGATATATAATTATATTTAGTGCCAAGTCTATGCCAACACAGGCATAGATTAAACATATTGCTAAAATATGATTGCAATATCCAACAATTTGTGATAAATTGTACTTAATATGTTCAAGTCTTATTATTTTATCATTAAAATTAGACCTAGGAGGTATAAATTTAATTAGTAAACTGCATTATATTATAAAGATTGCCTTTATTTAGCTAATACAATGTAGGTGAATTTTTGCGATAATATTTTTTTTATAAACTTTATATAAATTGAGCAATGTTCAACAAATTTTTATTAATCATAATTGTTTTATTAAATAACAATAATTATGAAAGTATTTATAATACTCGCTGTACTCTACGTTACGGCTAATGCCGTACCGTTTGCTCATGAGTTGGCCGAACCTTTTAACGGCACCAATTGGGTGGTGCTGTGCGCCGGTGGGTACACATGGTCTAACTATAGACACCAGGTACATTTTTAAAACTCTCTCTTTCTCTTTCTCTTAAATAAAAAGTTTAAATATGATGTTTTAATTATAATAATTACTGTTTATAGTCCAACGTATATCACGCCTACCAAATAATTAAAGCCCATGGTATACCGGAATCCAACATAGTGGTAATGCACTATGATGATCTGGCTCAAAATAAAGAGAATCCCACACCAGGAATAGTGGTGAACACCCTAGGTGGTCCCGATGTTTATAAAGGTGTGCCCAAAGATTATACTGGCACCGAGGTCACTCCCGAGGCAAGTAGTGTTTAATTGATCTAAACAAATTAAATTATATTTTAAAAAATTTTAGATAATTTATAATTGTTTTATATTTACAGAACTTTTTAGCCGTTTTGAAAGGCGACAAAAGTTTGGCCCAAAATGGTAAAAAAGTAGTCAACAGCGGACCCAACGATCACATCTATGTCTACTTCATTGACCATGGAGCACCAGGTTAGTTTGTTAATTTAATTAATTTACTTAATTATAATAAACTAATCAAAACAATAATTATAATTGCTTAGATCTAATTGCGTTCCCGCACAAGTATCTGTACAGTAAGGATTTGAACGGTGCGTTCAAAGAAATGCACCAGGCTAAAAAATACGCCAAACTCGTGGTCAACATTGAGGCCTGTAATTCAGGCTCGATGTTTGAGAAACCGCTGCCCAAAGACATCAATGTTTACGTCACTACTTCGGCCAACCCTCAGGAGTCCAGCTATGCCAAGGACTACGACAATCTCCGTCACACTTATCTAGGTATAAATTACTAAGTTTAAATTAAGTAGTTAGATTTTAATATTTTAATAATAGTTTAATTATTTAATTTATTTAACATTATTTGAATAATGTTTAAATTCTAGAATTTATTTTAATTTTATAGTTTATTATTTATTAGTTACTAGTTAGTTGCTATACTTATTTTATAAGTAATTTTAATTAAATAACTTGCAATAATTGTTGTCTAATACTTGTACTTTTTATACTTTAACAATAATTTAGGTGATTATTACAGCGGTGCCTGGTTGGAAGTGATTGAGAAACAGGATTTGACCAAGGAGACTCTGGAGCAATCGTACAAATATACCGTCAGCTCCCAAAATAAGTCACACCCGCAACAGTACGGCACACTGGCCATCAATAAATTAACTGTTTCTCAATTTTTGGGTTAGTAAACTAGCTTGTAATAGTTTTAATGTTTTATTAATCATGCTTCTTAATTATGAATGATCAGGATCCAAAACGACAGTTAATGCCTACAAAGCACCCGCCACTAACCTTAATGATGCTGTTAGCAGCCGAGATGTGCCAATTGCCCTTGTTCAAAAACTTGTCGAGTCAACAGATGACCTGGGTCAAAAACAAGCGTATGCATTTTTATTAACAATTCTATAATTATTTAACTTATTTAAATAACGTTTACTTCAATAGATATGTAGCTGAATTGCAGCGACTATTGACTGGCCGTCAATATATGGACAAACATATCGCACAATATGTGCAGAGCGTTGAGCACATGCTTACTGTCAACACCGATGCTATACTCAACGGCAAACACACCGTAAACAACGCTGAATGCTATCACAAGTTTGTGGACACTTTTGACCAACAGTGTTTCAATATTAATCAGGTAAATTACATTTATCATAATTAATCACATCAATTGTTTACACCATGTTTCTACTTATACCATAGAATACTTATGCGTTCGGAAAACTGCAAGTATTTGTAAATGTTTGCGAGCAACTGCGCCAACCGAGCGATGCGAACATTGTTGTCGACCATTTGGTACAATACTGTAACGACAATGTGCCTCATAATAACATGCCTATTGAATAAAGTGATATAACCTATTTTATGGCAATTACAATAAATTAAATTTAATGTAATTTAAATCTAAGATTTGCAATAAATAAAACTTAATAATTGTAATTAATTTGTCATAAAACACATCAATATAAGAAAAATTAAAAATAAATAAAATTTTATTTTTCAATCATATTAAATTTATTTTGTTTTTAGACCAAGTACATCATCTAGTCATGATGCTTTTTTGTGTTAATCAGCTGATGGCGGATCTTGTTTTGTTTCACTTTCACCATCATCACCAACACGATTACCACGACCAACTCGACCACTGCGACCACCACCGCTATTACCACTACTACCACCATTACCACGACCACCACGACCACTACCACCACTACCACCATTACTACGACCACCACGACCATTACCACCACTATCATTACTACCACTATTACCACGAACACCACGACGACCACCACCACTACCACTACTACCACCATTACCACCACTACCACTTGAGCCTTCTTGGTCATCTTCTGAATTGTCCGAGTGTTGCTCTTTATGCAAATCTGATTCAGGGTGCTTGTCCGATTCCGGGTGCCGATCACCTCCTGGACCGCTGTCTGAATCATGCGCCGACTCTCCCCGTCGGTTTAAATCGTTTATTAAAAATGCTGTGACCGAGTAGTGCGGAATCTCTTCCCTCTTATTCGCGCACTGGTAAGCCTTATTTCCTGTTAAAAAATAGCATATGTGCTCGCATTTGCCGGTCTCGCATATTTGTGTAGCTTGTTCCTTTTTAATGTCAAGATGACTTGTTTCCAGCCACACTCGGCGGTGTCCATCGTCTGGTAATTTGTCGAAACTCTCATCTTGACCAAGACCGTATGTTCGCCATGATTGGACCTCTGAGATTGTGGCCGCCGTCATCACCACCATGATTGTTATGAATAATGCTAATTTAATGGCCATTATAATTAGCAATTTATTTTAACCATTTATATTTATGCACAATCACTTTATTCAAAATGGTTCATAATTTATAATTGCTATTAAAGTAATGGCTGTGTTTATTAATTAAATTACTTCACATATGTTTATTGGATTTTAAGTAAATATATTATTTAATTTTAATTTTATTTATTATTTTTAATTTTTTTAATTTTAGAATACATTGAATATTTTGTACATTATTTTTTTAAAAATATTTCCGATATAATATTATTGCCTCAACATTTTCTTAATATAACTTTAATAGCAAAACATAACATGTAATATTAGTATACTAACAAATTACATACAATAATTATATATAAATAAATTGTGTTTACACTTCATACTGTTTAACACATTAGTAGTATGTAAATCATTATTTTCAATCAATAAAATTATTATCAATTTTTAAAAATGCAACTTACTAAATTTTATTGTTCATAAAAATATCTTACCATACGAACTATGGTCTATAAAATAAACAAACACATAATCATGTTAATAAATTTGTTGCACCTTTAACCAATTCTATATTTTATTTCAAAGCACACTGAAAATTATATAATAGAAAAATTATTAACAGCATACTATAAATTACAAACTTATATAATTACTATAAGTGTAACATGGTGGTATATATTTTTTAGGTACTCCCTAATAAACATCGTGTGAATATAACTTTACTTGTGTTAACCTTTTTGTTAAAACTAAATCAATAAGTTTTATAAATAATAATATAATTTTTTAAATATGTTTATTAATAATATAATAGTTTCAAAAATTGATTGAAATGATCATGGACATGCGCCTAAACTTTTTGTATAACTATTTATTTATTGTAAAATGTAAAAAACAACTATTTAATAATTAATGTTTAATATACTGTAAATTGGCTTTAGTTTCTCTCTCTCTCTCTCTCTCTCTCTCTCTCTCTCTCTTACAAATTAAAATTAAATCATGAATTATAAAGAGATGCTTTGCATACAAAACTTTTTAACTGTTTTGAATAGCGATAAAAGTTTGGCCCAAAATGGTAAAAAAGTTGTTAACAGCGGACCTGACGATCACATCTACGTCTACCTTATTGACCATGGAGCACCAGGTTAGTTTGCTAATTTAATTAATTTACTCAATTATAATAAACTAATTAAAACAATAATTATAATTACCTAGATCTAATTGCGTTCCCACATAAGTATCTCTACAGCAAGGATTTGAATGGTGCGTTCAAAGAAATGCACCAGGCTAAAAAATACGCCAAACTTGTGGTCAACATCGAGGCATGCAATTCAGGCTCGATGTTTGAGAAACCGCTGCCCAAAGACATCAATGTTTACGTCACCACTTCGGCCAACCCTTAGGAGTCCAGCTATGCCAAGGACTACGACAATCTTTGTCTAGATATAAATTAATAAGTTTTAATTAAATAAATAGCAGAGTTTATATTATAATTACTAGTTAATTGCCATAATAACCTAATGAAAAATTTTAATTAGATAGTTTTAAATAATTGTTGCATATTTATACAATGTATGTTGCTATATTTATAAATTTATACAATGTATGTTTACAATAATTAAGGTGACTATTACACTAGCTTGGCAAATAATATTTGAAAATCCAGTATAAGTGTGAGAAATTTGACCAAGGAGACTTTGGAGCAATCGTACAAATATCTAGAAATAAGTCACACCCGCAATACCTAGCCATTAATAAACTAACAATTTCTTAATTTATGGGTTAGTACACTAGCTGATACTAATTAAACAAACAATTAATGTCTACAAACACCTGCCACTGACTTTACTGGTACTGTTAGTAGCCAAGATGTGCCTATGGCCCTTGTTCAAAAACTTATTTAGTCAGATGACCTGTGCAAAAAAGTCTGCATTTTTATTAGCAATAATTTAATAAGAATTATAATTAAATTAAAATTAATATAAACTTATCTTAATAATGTTTACCCCAATAGATATGTGGTTGAATTACAGCAACTATTGACTGGCCGTCAATATATGGACAAACATATTACGTGCAGAGCGTTGAGCACAAAGTAAAGATTCTACCAAGGAGTTATAAGAAGTTATAGCAGTGATAATATTGACTCTGTTATGGATATTAAAATACAGTAAAACACAATTAAACTAAATATTAATAAACAAAATTTTATTCAACAATCTTATTAAATTTGTTTTCGTTTTCCACCACCGAGTATACCTTCTAGTGTTTGAGCTTTATCGGTGTGGTCGTTTGATGGGTTTTCATGATGATCGTTTGATCCACGTTTAGAGTTGTTATCATCGGACCCTGAGGGTTAATGTAGGGCCCAGTATTTTGCAATCCTATTACATTTATTTTGATTTAGGACCAATTATATCATCTAGTCCTGATGTTATTGTTCAGCTGATGGCAATTCATTTGATTTATCTGTTTTGCCACGATCACCACGACCACTATGACCACCATGACCACCTTTACCACCATGACTACCTTTACCACCATGACTACCATGACCACCATGACTAACATGACGACTATGACCACCGCCATCACCACCGCCATCACCACCACTACCACCACCACTACCACCACCACTACCACCACCACTACCACCACTGTTGCCTTGTTCATCATTATCGTGTGGTTTGTGATTATCCGACTCCTGATTGTTACCACTACCACCCGATTCACCTTGATCATTATGATTATCACCATGGTTATCCTCCTTTGATCCTGATTCATCGTGGTGTTCATCCGATCCTGGTCGTTTATTACCAGATCCTTGTTGGCCGCCACGATCTGAACCTTGATTCTTGTTCCTAGCCTTTTTTCCGTGATCATTGTCATTTGACCCTGATGGTTCGTGGTCACGTCCTATAGATAGGCCAACGTTCCAATTTTCCAACGGTTCTCCCTCTGATCGTATCAGGTTCCTTTTCATAAAAATGCCGGGCAGTTCTTTATTGGCAACGGCGCACTTGGCTTCCTCGTTGTCCTTGTTCAAATAGCATATTCCATCGCACTTCTGTGCGGTACACTTCTCTCGCGCTTCACTTACGTCAAGTTTGTGGCCTATTTCCAGCCATACTTGGCGTTTGTCCGTAGCTGGTTTTGGTTTGGATTTACCCGGATTTCCACGGGGTTCAGGCTTACCATGTCTATGACCGCCTCGACCACCTGAATGGACCACTGACACGGTTGCCGCCGCTATCAGCACCATGATTGTTATTGATAATGTTAATTTAATTGCCATATCTATAATGATAAATTTATTTAAGCACTTATAACAATGTACAAATAATTTAGTAAAAATGGTTACTAATTTTTAAATAAGTTATCATTGATTTAACATATACCTGTTATACTTAATGAATGTTTGGTTAATGGTTGTTAATTGAAATACTTCAAATATGTTTGCTTAATTTTAATTTATTATTTTTTATTTTTTTGAAATTATGTCGAATTGTGAAACATTTATATACAGATATAAATAGTACCAAAACTGCGATTCTATTCACGCAAACTATAATTTTTTAGTGTTATAAATATGATGTGCAGTAATGATATGTTTTAAAAACTTTGTTTTATTGATTATTTCATATGAAAGTTTGTTAAAATAAATACAATTATTTTATTAAATCGCAAATAATAGGTCAATTTAAAAATGAGTACCCTTTAAATGTAAATTATATGATGATCATTTACAATTTCTATAGCATTTAAAACAATATCACTTCTACATTATAATGATTTTCACATAACTTTAATGACTTAAATTTAAAACTTTTATTTATTATATGAAACTTAATAAAAAAAACTTATGCACAACTTGATTGAAACACAGACTTAAATGTTTAAAAATTCATTAATCATTTAAAAATAACGTACAATTTATTGGTTTTATAAAATATTTATATATTATTTTATAATCATCTGTTATATAAAATAAGTACAACACATATGTTTTAAATAACGAAGCAAATTAAAAAAATTTACTCATATAATTGTTAAAATTAGTTATTGCAAAATGTGCGAATGTATTATATATTATACAATCTATTTTACAATAAAACATATAAAAATAAACAAAGTAAGTTTTCTTGAGAGAG